CCAGTGACCCACGCGACCCTGAAAAGGAAGAAGCGTGTACAGAAAATGGATGGATGGAAGACGGTGAACCTCTTCTTTTATTCATGAAGACATAATACTAAGTGAAGCTCCTTAATGCCAGTTCCTTTATCTATGACGTTGATTCCATTGTATGTGTTTATTCTGGAAACGACAATGACAATAACAAACTCAAAACATATCACGAAGTTTAAGATTTTCCCTTTTTACTTTAACTATATGTACTTGTTGGCATTCTCTCCATGACTCTTTGCACAGTCTTAGGGAAAAGTAGCAGAGTGAAGCAGAATTTGACTTTGGCAAGAAGATAGTCATGTCTTCAGTGAGGATCAAAAAGTCCTGAGACAGCAACTAGACTGCCTGAATTAAACATTATTCACAAGAAGAACTTAAAACGAGGAGTCACATGCTGACTCGTTTTATAGATCAACACAGTAAAAAAATACCAAAATGTTTAAAATACTTATTTAGGCATACCAGTCTTACCAATCATGGTAAGTGACATGTAATGTGAAAATGATGATCTGTTTAAAACAGTGTTCAAAAGTACAGTTTTGAAACTTCATCAGTATGGTTACCTGATTTTAGAAAGTATAATAATGGCTAGGCATAAATAAAATAATAAAAAAAGCTTATTTAAACTGGATAATGTGCAGGTTTTTCAGCTTTTGGACAAGAGAGGGTTTTCCTTCATCTAATTTCAAAACCTCCATTTGAAGTTCTTGCTTATATAAATTTATTTCTGGACATCTTAGTACAAAATAAAAACAATAAGCATTACTGTTAATAAGATCTACAAAAAAATCCCTGTGGGAGCCAATGGGCAGAATTAAGGTAAAACAAATTCTCACAGTGGAATAAAAAAAAACTCTGAAAATTACCAWTAGTTTTACATCTGTTGTCTTCTGGAGGAAGCTTCAGGCAATTCATAAAAGGTCATATTAATAAATGAATAAAACAAAAGGCTGAGAGAAATCAAATGAGCTACTGTACACATTTAAATATCCTTGATAAAATTCTACGGTGACCTGTTTACAACCTTTTAGGACGATCAAGAAGATGCCTGACATGCCAAGATTTCATTAAACTTTAACTTTTAATAATGATGCTTAGAGTGGTCACCTCACAGCAAGAAAGCTGCAGGATTGCCTCCTGCTTGTGACCTGTGGAGTTTGCATTTTCACCCCATGCAGTCGTGGGTTTTCTTAAGTGTCCTTCCAGTRACCAAAAACATGCATGTTCAGTTATGAGGTAGATCAGAACTGAAACTTGATGTGAGTGTATCTTTGTGTCCCTGGGATAGCCTTGAGAAATGCAGTGTGTACCTTGCTTCTCCCACGACTGCTGGCTCTAGACCC